ATACTTAGCTTTTGGATATTGTATTTGTTCATTTGCAAGAGCTTGTTTATAGAGATTTATATAGTAGAAATATTTTACAACATAATTTGCAAAGTATATATTACCAATCTTGGACTTTTTAAAAAAGTTGTAGAATTCTGCTGTATATAGCACCCAAGGCTTTAATAAATCAACTATATATTCAGGCATTAGATATTTAGTCTTGAAGTTATAATTACAGAAATTTTGACCGGACAAAGATCATTTAATGAAATTCTGCTTAATGATAGTATATCAAGAAGATTCAAAATATCAAAAATTATCAATAAATCAAGACCTAAATATTTAGAACCAAATTGTTATATTAATTAGCTATAAAATATATAGTTAAAAATTTTAATAAATGATCTACTGTAATGAAATTTTGAAATAATTATACATCTAGCATGAATTATGAAGGCTTGACAATTCTATTTATTATTTTTTGTATATCTCTTTATAGTTGATTTATTTTTCTAGATTTTAATATTTATTTGTACTAATATTTTGTAGTATCAAAAAATGATTACATCATTAGGCAGAGTGTATTAAAAGCATTATTATAGCAAATCTTGTATCAGTATCACAATTGGAATAGAAAGATAGTACTTAGCTTTTGGATATTGTATCTGTTTATTTGCAAGAGCTCATTTACAAAAATTTATATAGTAAAAATATTTTGCAAAGCATATATATCACCAGTCTTAAAAAATTCGTAGAATTCTGCTATATATAGTATCTAAGACTTTAATAAATCAACTATATATTCAGGCATTCGATATTTTGAAGTTATAGACACAAAAATTTTGACTAGACAAAGATTATTTGATGGAATTCTGCTTAATGATGGTATATTAAGAAGATCCAAAATATCAAGAATTATCAATAGATTAAGATCTAAATATTTAAAACCAGATTGTTATATTAATTGATAATTCACTAGTTAACCAGAGAGTGATTATAGTAAAATATGACTCAAATTACTTATAAAAATTGGGTGTCTCCAAATGTAGCATACATGCATCTAAAACTTTTTTTTTTTTTTTTTTTTTTAAGCGATCCTGTCTTTATTCATGTGAACTGTTATATAATTTTTATACCCATGTATACAAAATTCTTACAACTTATTGCTCTAACGTAATAAAGACTTACCAAACATAAATGCCCAATGTGACCTGCTATAACAACTGTTTGTCTACTCAGAGATCATGAACTTACTCATGATTTTGTATCCCAAAGAATACTCCCCCTCGATTATGGACTGGCCGTTGTATATCTCGTCAGGATCACCAACCTTTCTTCCAACTTTTTCTACCGAAATCTGGGCAGAATAACTATCTCCTACTCTTTTATAAGCAAGATCATATATACCACGTTTATGAAAGACCAAAAATATTTAGGAGAATAAAAGGAAAATTAAAACCAAAAACCACAAAAAGAAACTATCCTAAATATAATTCCATCATAAATGGACCAGCAAAAAAAATAAAAAGAAAAGTCGGCGATCCCGACAAGAAAAAGGAAAAATGCACTATTATAACCCGTGCCAGGTGAATATAAAAATTATATGCTTATAGCAACTCTGCATATCTCTATTGTAAGGCTTCACCTATACTATTAATTCCTCTTAAACTCTACTATCTCCGGAAGTTTTCACCTGGGTTCTTCTAATCAGATACTGTCATCGTCCTATGCCAACTCTTCAGTTTCCAGTGGCCCCGAGCCAAAACCGGTAGCACTATGTCCACTTATCAGACACGTGATTGCCATCTACCACGTTAACCGGATATGGGAGTGTAAACACTGTGTAATCTATGTCGATCGTTTGAAGGGGGTAAGCCAAATTCCCACTTTTTGTCGAAATTTTTAGAAGACCAACGGAAGGGTGAGTAGAAGAAAAAAAAAGAACCACCTGGCCAAGTAAAAGAGTGCAGCTTAAAGAAAGACAAGTACTTGTTGTTTCCCCTATGTTCCTTGTTTCGAAGTAACAGCCTAAGTGCTTTGTTAACAGAGAAGATTCCAGTCTCTCCACCAAGATTTTGTATTTAAGGGCACACACCTCCTGCCAGTTATCTTGTATACCAACGCTCTTGGCTTGCATGCCAAACACACAGCTTATAAAGGAGTCCCGGAAGAGAAAAACCGTTAACCTCTAGGCAAACCACACATTAGGCCACGACTCTCCAACAAGATTTTTGTTTTTCTTCGGTAGGAATTTCTGGTCCAGATGATCGTCGGGAAGAGTTGTCTTTTCTTTTCTTTCATATATTTATGAATCTTAATCTTGTAAATAAGCATATTTATAAACAAATACTATTTAGAAGCCTCGTGAAAAAATAAAATGCAAACTTCCAGTTTAGTTTCTTTTAAATACAACCAGTTTATAAATAATTTCGAAAAGGAAAGCATTCCAGATAATTTTAGAGATATCAAGCATGATGTTTTATGGGAAAAATAACTAAATGAATTCTTAGTACACTATAAATACTTGTATATAATTTTTTATACGTATATTTTTTTCAGACTAACTTAATCTGTATTCATACATTTAGGGAAGATGTGTGGAATAATGTCCCATAATATGATAATATGGAGTGAAGGGAGCTTATGCCTTTATGGGTGAGTGATTTACCAAATGGCCGTATATGCTTAAACACAGCTGAACACCAAAGTTTAGCAAGAAGGCACGTAGAAATCATGAAACAGATGGAAAAAAAAGCCAGATATAATGGCATTAGAAACTGCAATGAAAAATTAGTAGAATTTTTATTCACAGAATGTTTGCATATTTTTTGCAGTTCCACTAAAAAAGATAATATGAGAGTTGTTGGATGAGAGCATCTATATAAATTCTGCATAGAATACCAAGATAATGTATTTATACATGAGCAAGTAGAATTCCAAGATATTTTCATTTGGATTATGCAGAAATTCCACTGACACCTGATATGCCAGCAATTATTATTAAATTTAAAAAACATTGTATTAGCTATCCGATATGAAAATATCGAAGCAGCATTTTGTCTCAAATCGATCGCAAGGCTTATTATGCATAACTTATTTGTAAGATGGGGCACAATCTCAAAGTGCCATTTTTCATTTTTCTAGAATTAGTACGTACTAGAGTTGCAGGTAAAACTAATCTTCAATGGTGCACCAATGGTAAAACTAGAGTTATAGATGAAACTAATCTTCAACAGTACACTGTTGGTGCACCAGTTTTCTGGTGAAATGAATTAGTTTCACCAGCAACTCTAGTACATATCTAACCAAAGCCGGTCAATTAACTCATGCCACATATGCTCTGACTTTATTTTGTGGAAGCCAACTCCGGACCGAAATCTTTAAAAGATATGTGATCTCTAAAAAATTTATACTTTGAGAAGAGGACTGTATTCTGATAGAAGAGGTAGCATTAACCCCTCATATAGTAGCTTCTGGAGAGTGGATAGATTCGTTGGAAAAGTTAGAAGCAATTATGGTACAAATTTTTGAAGTATTGTAAGTACTTATTATTACATTATTACTTCACGAGGGATGTCAATCAGTCTCGCAGTACCGTAATTTGCAGCAAATAGTACTCCCTTGTTAAAGTACCCGCCCACAGTCAATTGTGTGTCAATTTAGTCAAATTATATAGTCAATTGACAGTCCCAAGGAGGGTACTAATCAACTTTTAAGGCCTAGAAATGTAAGAGACCTGGGGTACTATTTGCCGCAAATTACGGTAATTGTCAGCCGACTTTGAGCAAGGTTTATAAAGAATTGGCATTTTTAACTGACATTTGTCCAATAAATAAAGTCATAGAAAAACAATTTTTCTGTAACATTTTCTAATAAAAGTTTATCGGTATTTGCATTGGTTTTTGAGTAATTTAGATGGGACCGATGAGTGACCAATTAGCTAAATTTTCTCTACACTGTTTGGTCCCCAATCGTTCCCATCTAAATTATTCAAAAACCAATACAAAAACTGATAAACTTCTATTAGAAAATGTTACAAAAAAATTATTTTTCTATGACTTTATTTATTGGACGAATACCGGTTAAAAATGCCAATTTTTTATAAATCTTGCTTAAAGTTGGCTGACAATTACTGCGGGACCGATTAATATCCCTACCTGTAAGGATTGATTAATTAAAAAAATCTATTTTTATGGGTATCAACCAAGTATAGGGCATTTGAGATACGTACCTATAAAATGCGAAGCTTGGGGTGCATGATTAACTATAGCTGCCGCAACAATTTGGACCGGCAGATTCTCGATTTTGATTGGCTAAGAGCAACGATCAAAAAATTAGGCCGGAATTACTCATAATTTTTGCTAATGAAATCATAGCCGCCCATTAAGTGAAAATTGTTCCTGGGTCAATTTTACCATAATGCAGGCTTATTTTTTTAAGAATTTCTATTTTTGTAATGAAAAAATTAAAAAGCTAATTCCGACCGGAATTTAGTAAACAATTTTGTAATGTGGGCCAAATTTTTGAAGATCCTCGGCCGTTAGCCAATCAAAATCAAGGATCTGCCGGTCCAAATTTGTTGCGGCAGCTATTACTATAGTTAATGGGAGCATGGTTGGTGTTTTTCCTATTCTTCTGATTAAGCTTCAACTGTGATTTTATTATTTCTTGGATTTTAGGGATAAACAGAGCTTGGTTAGTGCATCTCAAGCAGGCAACTTGAGACGTGCAAAGAGACCATATGTTTACGGTAGAAATAAGCGACATGGGGTTGAATTAATATACGGTGAAACAGGTCGTCCAAAGATAAGCAACTAGAGAATCATAGAAAATTAGCAGGACTCTCTAAGGATTCGATCGAAAAAACGAGATCAGAACTTAAGGCATCATTAAAGAAATCGACATTAAGTGAATATTTGTCTATATTCACGATTAATGTATTTTTATTGCTATTCATCTTTTTTAGAAATAGTACGTACTAAAATTGTTTTTCAAGTGACACGATAAAAATTTATGTGATGAGAAAAGAACGCGGGGTTCTTGTTTATCGTCTACTCACAACAGCGAAGATTCCATTGAGTGTCATATCTTCAGATGAAGTTTATACACTTATCCACGCATTATTAACATTAAGAGTATATTTGGTTTTACTCTTCTGTTATCAGTATAAATACGTATAATTAATATTATTCTTTTACAGACTGCCGTTGCCTATACGCTACATAATATTTTAGCGCATCTTGATGAATCTAGCAGTGGACAATCTTCCGATAAGACAACATCAACTATTGACAAGCCAAGAAGGAAGAAAAAGAAATAGTTTTATTCGATTGCATCCTTAGAGAGTTCTGCTAATTTTCTATGTTTCTCTAATATACATTATTAATGATATATTGAAAAAATAGAGAACCAGCAATCACTGTAACATGTATTCTATCTTTATCAATAAAGTTGGCCTTGATGGTCGAATTTCGCATATGCAATCAGTTTACTTTTGCGTGTATATTTCGTAATTTATTTACATTACTCGTATATGATCGAGAATTTTTTTTTTTCTTGACAATTTTCCAAGACTGCGCGGTCCCGGAAATTTTTTGGGTGGAATCAAAAATAACGATATAAATGATAACCAATACTTATTTACACTATCGCGTTAAAATAAAAATAAAAATGGGGAGGTCACCATTGTAAAAAATTCTATTGCATAACTTACTCGCTATTCCAGCGAAACACAATATGCAGTTTAAGTCTATTATGAGTTATTCTGCTACAGAACTTGCTTATTAAAAAAAAAAAAAGCCTATCTAATGCAATGTTCAATAATTTATTCGCAAGGATATTAAGTTTTTTTTTTCAATAGCTTTCTTCAAGTCGCCTTACTTCTAATTTCGATCGACAGTGGATTGTTACTTTTTTGCAAATAAAAAATGATTTTCATCTTGCTTATTATAAAATAAAAATTTTCGGACAATATTTTGATCGTTAAAAAAACTCTTTCCGGTTCACCCCTGAAAATCATTGACAATAGTAAAAAGTAAACAAAATCCCTGCAAGTTTTT